ATCCCATGCAACCGATGAACAAGAGGACAGCAGTGCCAATGATCTCCGCCACGAACATCGTGATCGTGTTTTTCTGCATCTGCCATATTCCGCCTGTAAACATTGCACAAGCATATTTTGACGTTTATCTGAATATTAATGTTAAACACTCACTACCTTGATCGTCCGACATGATGATTCGAGTTCACTGACGCGATCTGTGCAAATCGTTGCGCTGCGTGTCGCATTCTTCGTATATAAGATATTAAAAAAATGATGCGACATCTTATCTATAGATACGTTAAGTGCTTCTTGAATCACTGCATATACTGAGAAGATATGCACATTCGCGATATTACATAATTTCTTCGAACTTTGGTAGATGAATAAAAGATCAATTTTAAATCCAAATCAATAATACTGATAATACGTTTATTATCTAATAACTCCCGAGGTCAAAGCCTGGTTTTTAATTTGCACGAGTCTACTTACATTCCGGGTGACCATTCTCTGGAAAGAACTCTACTCCTTCAGCCGACGTGGAAGAATAAAGCTCCGACTCGGAGAGTCTGAAGCTACCACCGTCACAGCGCATGCGTTGCCGCTGAAATTGCATGCGTTTTCCTCGCCATTAAAACTTTCAACGATTCTCGCAGATTGCCCGCAGAAAATCATCGCTATAAGAGATATGAATTACGCACGCAAGTGCCCGCGGTTGGCTCCCGCGGCTGGGGCACGCTCGTGTCCGTCTCAGTCGTTGGGGGTATATTCGCGCATCGTCTATAATCCATATAAAAACAAATTGCGAACTAGAAATTCCGCAAGCGATGTCGACGCAACCCTTTACGCTATTTCGCAATCACAATTATAAGGCCGACACGGAGTACGTGGTGAAGGTGGCCAAGACTCTGTTAACGCCCGTCGGTATCTGGCCGCTCTATCGAGGCAACTCCAAAACCGACAAGATCAAGAATCACCTCCAGACAACCTTGATATTCTGTCTGATGTGCTTTCTGCTCGTCCCGCACGTCATATACACCTTCTTCGACGCGGAGGACCTGACCAAATACATGAAGGTCATAGCCGCCCAGGTATTCAGCCTGCTTGCCATCATCAAATTCTGGACGATGATCATCAACAGAGATGGGATTAGAGACTGCCTGCAACAGATGGAGATTCAATACAGGGACGTGGAGTGCGAAGAGGATCGCTTGGTGATGACGAAGAGCGCCAAGATCGGCAGACTCTTCACGGTGACGTACCTGGGGCTATCGTACGGCGGCGCGTTGCCCTATCATATAATTATGCCGCTACTAGAGGAAAGAATCATCAAGGAGGACAACACGACGCTAATACCCCTGCCGTACCTCAGCGACTACATCTTCTTCGTGGTGGAGGACTTTCCAACGCCGTTCTATGAGATTGTCTTCGTCTCGCAGATCCTGGTCAGCAGCATCCTCCTCTCCACCAACACCGGCGTTTACAGCTTAATTGCCAGCTGCGTGATGCACAGTTGCTGTTTGTTCGAGGTCGTACGCAGGCAGATAGAGACGGTCCTCAGCGGCGGGGTCGACGATCTCCACGAGCGACTCGGAGGAATAATCGAACACCATATGCGAGCTATCAGGTGAAAAAGTCTTCATTTGCGCCTTACGTTGGTGTCTCTGTAAATTTTCCCAATCGTATTTTCAATTAAATCACATGCTATATGCATTAATATGCTATTAGTAACTAAGATAAAGACAGAAAAACGCGTTTACGTAATTTACATCAGTTTTATTTACGTTTACTGAGTAATGAAATACATTACAGATTCGCGGAGATGATTGAGAAATCATTAAACATTGTCTTTTTATGCGAGATGGTTGGATGCACTATTATTATATGCTTTCTAGAATTCGGAGTTTTGAAGGTATTTTTATTAATAAGAATTATTAGAACAAAATGCAGGATGAAATTCAAATCTACGTTTATGCAAACTTATTTCAGGAATGGGAAGACGGAAAGATTTTACCTATGGGCACATACTTCGTTCTAATGACATCAATATTTGTGAACGTTTATATTATATCAGCTATCGGTGATCGCCTTAAAGAAGAGGTACATTCCGCAATTTGTGTACTAAATAATTCATAATTTATAAAATATTTCGTAATACGTATCCATCGCAATTACAAATAAATAAAAATAAATAAATAAATAAAAATTTTCCATAAAAATCGATCGAGCTTGAATTCTAAGCATAATAAAATTAATGTAATTAATTAATCGATCGATCGATTTATTTCTTCCTTTTACGAAGAGCGAGAAAGTGGGAGAATCGTCGTATTCTATCGATTGGTATAATTTGCCAACAAAAATCGTGAGGGATTTAATTCTGGTGATGCTCAGATCAAACCGCCCATCAACCTTGACGGCCGCAAAAATATTCGATCTTTCCCTTCAAGGATTCTGCGAGGTAATTATTTAATGTTTATCTAACAATTGATACAAATAATATTTGCTATATGTATTATGCGCCTTTCAGGTGTGCAAAACGTCAGCGGCGTACTTTAATTTTATACGAGCGATGACTACATAAACTCTGGAGTTATATCCTATATATATAAACTATTGAACGCCTATGTATAAGAAATGCTAAGCTACCGTCACTTTGTAAGATATATGATATATCTCACTTACTCTTTTTATCAAATATCAGCTAAACAATCACCTCTCTGTCGAACAATAAATCGTATTACTACAGTAATCCGAATAGCACACGTCATGCAATTTTCATATACAGTGTCTTCGTCCACAATTTTGCCTCTTCCCCGAAAAGAATTATTTTAAATTACTCTCTGAGTTATACGTCTAAGTTCGCAATATTGTATAAGTAATGTGTGCGTATTCTTTGTTTTGAACTTTTATTGCCATTATCATTATTTTTCCCTTTTCGAAACTTCTTCCTTTTCTCGAGTTTTATAAAACACAAATCGTGAGTAATACGAGACTGCGGCGTGTTCTACAATCATCCTAAATTGTCGGGCGCAGTTTGCTTGCAAAGAACGTTTCAATAAAATGACTTACCAAATGGCCTGACATTGTTGAAAATGTTGAAATAGAGAAACAACAGTTGAATTTATCATAAACTTATATAGATATATCTGCAAATATCAATTATTAAGATATTTTTTATATCAAAATTAGGAAATGAAAATACTATTTAGTTCTATGAATTTATCATAATATTTTATAATAAATTTGCATTATAATTAAAAATTTTTATAACTAAAACACTCGATTTATATTCTCAATGTGTTAGGAGAATGCTAGATATGGTCAATTTACAACTTATATCATTGCAGCAAACACACCCAGCAGACATTTCGAAATAGATTTCCTTAATTGCTGAAGCACAGAAATATTCATCCTTCTGAACACCGTACACTTTTGTTCTCGACGCGACGACTCGACGAAGTAAACCTCCGTCTTCGCGAATCTCGATAGCGCCTGCGTAGTCAACGAAATGATACGTATTTTTTCTCTAATGGAAGTTGCGGTGATTCTCAGAAGAATAGCCCCTTGCTGAAAGTTGCCACGAAGAGGCGAACTTCTCACACGCAAGCGCCCACGGTTAACTCGGGCGCTGCCCGATCAACGATCCCACGGCCACCACTTTGTTGCGGTCAGTCGGGAATCAAACGTGCGAAGCGAATATAATTGTAAAAACGATGATCGCGGACATGTCGCTGGCCGACGACCGCGCGCTATTCCGAAACTTCGACTACAGATCGGACGCGGAGTACGTGGTGAGAGTCGCCAAAATTCTCTTGACGCCCGTCGGCGTCTGGCCACTTTATGCGGACGACACCACGATGGATAGAGTCAAACACATTTTCCAGACGAGCGTCGTATTTTGCTTAATGTGCTTTCTGCTCGTCCCACACGTCATCTATACTTTCTTCGACGCGGAGGACCTGACCAAATACATGAAGGTCATAGCCGCTCAGGTGTTCAGCCTGTTGGGTATCATCAAGTTCTGGACGATGATCATCAACAGAAACGACATCAAATGCTGCCTGCAGGAGATGGAGATTCAGTACAGAGACGTGGAGAGCGAGGAGGATCGATTGGTGATGGTGAAGAGCGCCAGGGTCGGCAGGCAATTCACGATTATATATTTGGGATTGCTGTACGGTGGCGCGCTGCCTTATCACATAATTATGCCGCTGGTGGCGGATAAAGTTGTCAAGCAGGACAACACGACGCATTTGCCTCTACCCTATCTCAGCGACTACGTCTTCTTCGTGGTGGAAGACTCACCGTTCTACGAGATCCTCTTCGTCGCTCAGATTATATTCAGCACCCTCATCCTGTCCACAAACTGCGGCGTTTACAGCTTAATCTCCAGCTGCGTGATGCATGCCTGCTGCTTGTTCGAGATCGCCCGCAGACACATGGAAAGATTGCTGATCGGCGGAACTGATGATTTTCACGAACGATTTGGTTGGATAATTACGCACCACATGCAAGCTCTCAGGTCGGAAAGAAAATTGTGAATTTTTCAGCAATTGTGTCGTTAATAATATCAATTTATTGGTATAAAAAAGAGAGAGAACAAATCTAAATTTTATTTTTACTATTTTATTTATTATTTTACTTTAAATATCATCTTAAATGGCGTTAAATAATACGTCTTCATTGTATACGTATCGCCTTATTTATTTGCGATTACTCCGATTTATAATTTAATTACATTTATTTTGATTCCATGATAATACTTATTACAGGTATGTTGAGATGATCGAAAATTCATTAAATTTCGTCTTTCTATCAGAGATGGTTGGATGTACTATTATCATATGTTTTCTTGAATATGGAGTACTCAAGGTATTTTGATATATTCTCATATAATTTCGAAAAAGAATGATTTATTTAAAAAAAATTTCTTTTTCCACATAAATTTCTTCAAGGAATGGGAAGACAATCAATTATTCGGCGTGATTATATATTTTATATTAGTCATTTCGATCGTTGTGAATGTCTTTACCTTATCAAGTATCGGTGATCGTCTTAAGGAAGAGGTACTTTTAATTTAAAACAAATAAGTAATCAATCAATTAAAAATTAATTAGTTAGTTTAATTATTAAGCATTGAGCTCGAGATTCATATTTAACTTTTTGTCTCGAAGAGTGTAAAGATTGGAGATGCATCATATTACATCGATTGGTACACGGTACCAACGAAAAACGTGAATAGCTTAATTATGGTGATGATCAGATCGACCCGTCCGTCAACTTTGACAGCTGCTAAAATGTTCGATATTTCTCTCCAAAGCTTTTGCGACGTAAGTGTAATTTCTTCCGTTGTATTAATCTGGATATTAAGCATATTGTTTGATTAACGTTCACAAATGTTTACAGGTATGCAAGACGTCAATGGTGTATTTAAATTTTATTCGAATGGTTACGACGCAAAACGTATGATTATTCCAAATGCCATTCACTGAAATATGAATTCTTTATCTTGCTCAAAATATATATTAATTTCCTACCTGCTAAATCACAAATATAAAATATTATATTCATCATTTCTCTTTACTCGTATTTATCATTTAGCGACGTTCATTTACGGCGACATTTACGGATCAAACGGTGAATCAGTTGCATTATTAATTCACTAGCAATTGATTAAAACAACATTAAGACTATTTCTAGGTCAGTCATTATAACAACATTAATGCTCGTTATTTGGATACATATTTAATATATTTTTAATTTATTTTTACTTTTATATTTACAGTTACATTAAATAATATATTTATTAATTACTTATATACCGTACGCAGTAAAGTGTTTAATGCTATTATTATTAGTTGATATCACCATGCAAAAACACTCAGCTTCCACGGTTTTCCCTTTTCGCAGAAAGAAACGCAATCAGATGCGAACTATGATTTTATGGCAGACTCGACGTTTTACATTGCAAGTCCCCTCCATTTTAAAGTTCCTCAAAGCATTATTAGTGTCCCCTCTGTTTTCAAAACTGCGCTTTTTTTCTACCCCATCAGAAGGTTCTACAAAACTTATTCGAGGAATACGTTCCGTTATGAACAGTGAAAACTATATAATAACTTTTTACTCTCTTTTTTGATTTAACTTTTTGAACCTGGATCTTCCTATAATTTATGACGGGCAAAAAAAAACTTTTACGTTCAACATATAGAATTTTTCCAGGAAAATATTACAATTACGTATTGTCAGTAACTTTACGGTTATCCTCGGACAAAAGTTTTCACCACGTCATCGTGGTGACCACGACGTCCTCGCTCACCCCTTTCCGATTTGTTCCAACCGCAGCTGCTGTTTTTTCCCCCATGAAACTTAACCGATACATTAGAAAATGCAAATTACGAGTTATCAAAAAGTCGCAGCTTTTACGCGGCGAAGACGCGGAGGAGAGTTCATCGAACGGGCCGCGCATGCCTCGTGGTAGGAAATCGCACACGGAAAGAACGGTTTTACTGAAGTATCTAAAAATTTAAATACAGATTTGAAAATAATTTTGTTGCACCATTACTCAGTACCTGGCCGTCGACCGACAGACGGCCAAACAAGATCACAAATATTTTTCTTGTGATCGTCTGTTATCTGCTAATTCTCTATTGCTACATTGTATCGGGTGATCTTTATTACGCAGTCATCGATGACGAATCTTGCAAGAAACTAAAAATGATATCATCGATCTTGTATTCGATCACAGCAACCACTAAGTACAGTAATTTATTTATCCACGAGTGCATGTGATATCAGAAACTGGCTGCAACATATCGAGGAAGATCGGTGAACAGTAGCCATCGGTGACGCTCGAAAAATAATTTGCTGAGCAAAGCTTGAGCAAAGGTACCAGGAGACGATTATTCATCTTGTGCTTCACGTTCGTGTATTGCGGTGGACTATCTCATAACACGGTGGTGCCGCTATCGAGAGGAAGTATCTATCGATGAGAATATAGCACGATTAGACCCCTGTTCGAATTATTATTAAGTTTTCTTTGATTTGCGAAATAGTTATACCTACAAACTCGTGTTTTTCCAGCAAATTCTTTGAGGTTTCGTCATGTAGACGACCACATGTGATAATTTGCAGTTTCGCCACCATCTTCCATAATGTTTCCTGATCTATGCATACGCGCAGATGGAGATCCTGATGCGATTGATAGAGAGCTTTAATTGTCGACGAGAGCGAATTTGGGAAGCGAAATGTCAGCACGAAACTGGCAATCAAACATCAAATAAGAATACAAAAGTAAGTATTTCGTTTTATCGTATATGTTTCGTATTGCTGTCCTTAATTTTTTTGTATTATATATTCGGTAACGGTCTATATATGACAATCGTATTTCTATACGTGAAATTTTGGCTATTTTCGGAATATGGGAGGTCGTTATTGACGACCTATCGACCAGGGTCATTGCTCAGATCGCTCTTGCGAACACTCTCGCTTCTGACATCATACGAAACGTTGCCCGCGCTTAAAGCAAAAAAATATAAGCTTCATATCGAACAAGATAAACGATAGCTCACTATCTGCCTTTCCTAAGAGTCCGCGGCTTATTAATAGAAGACAGGGGTCTTTACCTTGTTTGCGTCGATCAAGGAGGAATTACCTGATACTACACGCAAAATATCCAACAGTATATTTTTTTCGTCAATATATATATGGACATTAAGGGTCAATTTTATCAACGTCAGTTAAGTGTTACCTTCGGTTAACCGACGTTGGTGAAACTGGCCCTAAGTGTCTAGCATTCGAAATATATAATACGATCATTCTATAAGTATATCTATAATTTCGTAATTATGACTCGATATTATTATTAACAAAAAAATTATTATAAAGTAATTAAAATGGCTGTAATTTATTTCATGCTTTGACAATTTTACCGAATAAATGAAACTGAGATTGCAATAAATTTCTCTTTGAGATAGACGTATCTATGGATTGAAATATATTGTTGAAAGATTTATTACCGATATTAAAAGTAACTAAAACATAAAAAATAAACAGTAGTACATCAATTATAAAATACACAAGTATACGGTATCAATTGTAAAAAAAAATAATTAAATATTTAATACGGGAGGTATGTACACTGTAAAATAAAATATATAAATATTATTTGAAATACGAAATATAAAAAGATGTTAATACATCATAAACATTTATTTTTTTACGAGTTTACAATATCTCTTTATACATTACTGACGGAAAATTGTAAAGTTTAAGACCGCACCGCTACCACGAGAAAAATTTTTTCTCGGAACGTCAACCCTTTTGTAGTTTCCGGGAAATTCTTCCTCCATAATGTTGCAAAATAAAAATAGTCTCGCAATATCTCTCTCAAAGTTTCTACGCACGCGATATTAGCGATTTAGTGTACGTGGCTTTGAGAGATTGTTTCAACCACGCAAGCGCGCGCGAGTCGCGAGTTCCCTTCTTCCCTTGAATCGAATCGCGGATCAACCGCGATCAGTCAGATCAGTGGCGAGTGAAACGCGCTCATCGTTTCATCGAACCTGCGTCGAGTCGCACACGGAATCCACGTGGAAAAGATGTTCGCCAACAAAAATTACAAACGCGACGTGGACCACGCTTTCGAGCTGAGCCGCTTCGTTTTTCGGCTGCTGGGTATCTGGCCGTACGCGCGTACAAAGCCCCACTTACCGGAGACCTTCGAGAGACTCGCGGTGGTTCTCGTTTCCTACATCCTCCTCATCTGCGAATTGATCCCGTCGATTCTGTACATGGCTGTCGTGCAAAAAGAGACCCGCGGCAGGCTGAAAGTCGTCGCCACCGTGATATACACGATAATGGCGATGGCCAAGTACGGCCAATTACTGTTCAGCAGGGATCGAGTGAGAGACTGTCTCGCGCAGGTCGAGGACGATTGGCGGGATGTCGAGTCGCGCGATCGCGACGTGATGATCGACAAGGCCAGAACTGGCAGGCGTTTGCTCATAATTTGCGCCATATTCATGTACACCTCTGGAGTGTCTTTCCGAACGGCCATACCGTTGTCTCGCGGAAAGATCGTCACCGCACAGAACGTCACGATCAGGCATCTACCGTGCCCGACTTACTTCGTTCTGTTCGACGTGCAGCTCAGCCCCGCTTACGAGATCGTGTTCCTCATGCAGTTCTTCTCCGGATTCGTCAAATGTACGATCACGACGGCGGTGTGCGGCCTCGCCGGTCTCTTTGTAATGCACATTTGCGCGCAGCTGGAGATACTGATGGCCCTGATGAACAATCTGGTAAACGAACGTGAATTTAAAAATGTGAACGAAAGATTGTTTGCCACAATTGTTAAGCATCAGATCAAAACGCGAAAGTAAGACAATCTTTGCATACGTATCCTTGGCAAATTTTTTTATTAATATTTTAATGTTTTTTAATTAAAATTCATGTGTAAAATATCTACGTGTTGCGTTACTATAATTATAATAGCACATATACAATAAGTTGTTCGATGAATAAGATTCTTTATACAACGGACTTGGTTATTAATTATATCTATCTTCATTTATGTGTAAAAATATCGAGAATTTTATTTATTACACGATTATTATATTTCTTTTTTCTTATGTATAAGAAAAATTTGTGTATAAATTAAAAAAAAAATTATATTTTCTCTACATTGCATTTCAGTTTCTTGCAACTGGTGCAGAACACCATACAATATACAAGTCTACTGGAAGTTATTGGATGCACCATAATCGTATGCCTCATAGGATATTTTGTTATTATGGTGCGCAAAACATGATTATGTACTAACAATAATTTGAAGAATTTTGAATTAATATTGTACGACGCATACTAGGATGCACAATATACATGGGAACATACAATTAAATATAATGGTCAAATTTACAGGAATGGGAAGATAACAATGCAGTAGCTCTATGTTCATATCTCGTCGGACTCACATCGATCACTTTCAACATTTTCATTTTTTGCTTCATCGGTGAACAACTTTCGTCGAAGGTACATTATTATGTTATCGGAGTAATAATTAGCTTCTATTGGCTGACAATGTGAGCATCATTATTTTAATTGATAATACGTATAACTTTATTAATTAAACCAGGGAGAAAAAGTAGCATTAACAGCATGCACATTGGAGTGGTACCGTCTTCCAGACACGAAAGCGCGATCGCTGATATTAATCATGGTCATGTCGAATTCTCCGACGAAGCTCAGAGGAGGAAAGTTCATCGATCTTTCGTTCCGGACATTCGGCAACGTAAGTAACAATAATAACAATATGTTAGGAAAGAATAAAATATATTTTTACGGAGATATTTTCCTTATATTTTAGGTCGTTAAGACGGCCGTAACGTACTTAAATCTTCTTCGCTCTGTTGTTGGCTAATAGTTCGTAGATGCAACGTAGTCTTTAAAGAAATATGTATAAATATGGCAAAGATATTATATTATTCCTGAACAGTAACATTTTTGTTAGAATATCTGTTGTAAAAAAAAATGATAGCCAGACGAAAGTTAAAATACGTATTGACGTTCATACAAACACGTAAAAACTTTTACTTACCGATCAACATTGTAACTTTGAGAAATACAAGTTGAAACAGAAACATCAGCAGAATCGCACATGATTGTTTCCCAGAGAATCAGAAAACTTGATCAATGCAACATTAAAACACTTTCTATGGAAACGATTTGCAACTTTCATTTTCTGTTTTTCACGCAACTACAAGTTTACTTTCCTGCCACAAACAGTAATTGTAGAATAAAATAAAACATAGGAATATCAATGTAATTTTAGCTTTATTTAATTTTCACTGACGTGATTAGAATTATAATATCAGAAATACGACAACATCATTACGTCAAAAACAATACGATTGTTGTTATATTGATTTCTCAGCAGTCTTCTGTACTACACGTAAGCGAAACCACTGCGGTCAACGTCCAACGGACGCAATCATGAGTTTTAATACAGGAAGAAAAGTTGAAAACGTCCAACAGACTATTCTTAGCTGCTTGGAAAAAAAAAAAAAAAAAAAATGTTCGACGTTGACGAATGGAAGCACTATTCGTGGAAAGCAATCCTGACCCTCGGAGAATAGTTTGACTTGGGAACTCTTCTGCTTTCGAACCCTCTTCTTCACGCAACATTAATCTTTAAGGCGCGCAAGCGCAAGCGGAGTACGAATTTACTTTATCGGCAGTTCTTATTTGCAGCGATCAGTCGCCATCCAGTTCACGTAAAGATTTCACGCAAAATCGACAAGAGCATGCTGCGCAACGAACATTACAAAGATGACATGATTTACATCACGCAATTGACGCGAAACGTTCTGAGCCTACTCGGGGTCTGGCCGGCGTATAACAGGAGAAGCTCCACCGGCGAACGAGTCTGGAAGTACTTCTTGATCTCGATGTCTTACATTCTTCTCTACTGCGTTTTGATTCCCGGCGCCTTTTTCTGGACAATCGAGAAAAGACCGCGCGTCCGAGTCCAAACGATCCCTCTGATGTTCTACGGCTTCATGGCCAGTGGTAAATACAGCAATCTGGTATTCCGCGAAAAGGATATCAGGCGCTGCTTGAAGCACATCGAGGAGGATTGGAGGATCGTTAATAGCGTGGAGGCGCGGCACATGATGATCGAATCTGCAAAGATCGGAATACGACTGGTGACACTTTGCGCGGTATTCATGTACGGCAGCGGGCTCTCCTTTCGATCGATCCTGCCGTTCGCTAAGGGAAAAATCGTCACCGCACAAAACATCACGATCAAACCTCTGCCTTGCCCGGCTTACTTCTATATCTTCGATATACAAGTTAGCCCGGCTTACGAGCTGATCTTCGCAATGCAATTTTTATCCGGGGTAGTCACTTATTCGATAACGATAGCTTTATGTGGCCTCGCGGCCGTCTTCGTGATGCACGCCTGTGGCCAGCTGAAGATTCTGGCGGATCTGATGAGAAATCTCGTCGAGGAGCAATGGCAGGAAAAACAGGACGTGAACAAGAAGCTGGCGAGAATGGTCGAACATCAAATAAGAATTCGAAGGTGAGAGTTTGAGAGTTTTTTTAATTTTTATTAAAACAACATATACATGAAGTGACTCACCGTCTATACAATAATGAAATATTCGCTAATCGATAATTCACATAATATACATGCAGACTGTAGTTAATTTTATTTGTCCATTTTCTACATGTGTTGATTCGGTACCGTTGACATTCCAGTTTTTTACAATTGGTAGAAAATACTTTACAACAAGCGTGTCTAATAGAATTGATGGGGTGCACGATGATAGTATGCCTTCTAGGATATTTTATAATAATGGTTCGTAGTTTTATACATTTAAAAGTTTCAATAACAAAGCAAAGAAATGTTTCCTGCGATAATGTAACGTTTATAGGAATGGGAAAATAGCAATTCGATAGCTATGTGCTCTTACTTTATAACAGTTACATCCCTGATGATAAATATGTTCATGTTTTGTTACACTGGCGAACAACTTAGTGTTCAGGTATGTTTGTCCATACGATTTTATAGAAAACATTACACATACGGTGATGATAATACAATTGGACATGTAGTTTATAATATATATGGTAATGCTATTTGTTGCTTAATACAAGACAGTATACTTGAGAACATGTTATTGGAAATGTTTATAATATTTTTTAAATAATGCTTAAATTGGCGAAAATTTCTACACGTATTGGATAATATTAATAATAGGCAGAAAGAGTAGCTAGTACATCTTGCGAGCTCGAGTGGTACCGTCTTCCGGACAAGAAAGCGCGTGGGATCGTGCTGGTAATAATCATGTCAAATATGCCTACTAAGATTACCGCTGGGAAGATCATGGATCTATCTTTCAAGACGTACGGCGATGTAAGAACATACGTTCATTCATTTCTTCAGCATTGTAACACTACGATTAATAACATTATTAAGTATTTACATTTAACATTTTAATAAAATAGATATCACTATACACACAAATACACAACATACAATCGAATACAACTTTCTCAATTTATCACACGCTTGTAAATTAAGAATATAATCAAAATAGTATATAAACTGTAGAATATTATGCTTGTTTTTCAGGTCGTGAAGACAGCTGTGACATATTTTAATATGCTTCTAAAGATAGCCGACTGAACATTTATGATCTGCATCTCCACCTTCTCGTTGGAACTATATGATTACAAACGCATCGTAATGGTAACATCGTATCGTGTGTGCTCGTGATATAGATGTGTCAAATACAGAAGCATGGTATGATGTACATATATATTTGAATATATTCTCGATTTAAATATATCTTCTCTATATATATAGAAGGGTGCATGAGAAATTTTTGTTTCTCAGTAAAACTATACCTTAAAGTTTCATAAAATGCAGTTTAATAATTAATTAAGTTATGTAATTTTTTATTTTAAATTATTATTTTATCACTTTATATAATCTCTACATATAAACTTCATCTATATTTCATTTCACGAGATAAAGAAGAGCACCCAGTAGAAAATAAGAGGTAACCGAAAATATAATTTCACAATTCGTCAGTCACATATGTATATATAAAACCAATGCTGCTTTAAAAATCCGTTGATTCGTGCGTGCGTCTATATCTCGCAGGCAGATCGAAGTATTGCATTTAAGCTATTGCACATTAATTGTCAATTAACGTTCGCTCTTCAAAACTATAATCTACGCTACATCATATTGATAACGCATTGTATGTGACATAACATGCGAAGAATACAAAACTCAGACATAATATTACCTGATTTTGATTTAAATATATATTTTTATTAATATAATTGATAAAACTAGTTTTAAAATATCAAGCAGCTTTTCAATGTCATATGGTAAAAATAAGCTGTACAATAATAAGTATATATTTTATTTTGCTTCGTAACTATTACTGCTCTTGGAAATCCATCTTACCCGGCATTAAAATCTCCAAAACACTATGTATAATAGCATGACACGCCGTCAAATATTATCTTAATAGAGCACTTTTTTAACTTTTACTAAATGCACTATACATTTTAATCGGGAGAATGATCACAAAACATATTATTATACTTATTGTTTGAGATATAATTACGTAATAATTACAAATCACAAATATGCTTGCATGCAATCTCTTCCAAAGTTCTTACACATACTTTATTCGTCCGATTAATGTGACTTTTTAGTTGTAATAGAGATTTTAGTACAATCAAAATAATTACTTTCCAGAAAATCAGAAAACTTTAATGTCGGAATAAAAACACCTTCCACGAAAATGATGTACCGCTTTTATTTTCATCTTTTCGCGTGCACCCAAGTTTAACAAGTTTACTTTCAGACATTGTATAAGAACAAAAACACATATTTAGCTTTATTTAATCCACTGACGTTATTAGAAATACCACGTCAGAAGCACGATAAAACCATCACGTCAGAAGCATTATTGTTATATGTATTGATCTCTAAGCAAATCCAAGTATTACTGTAACTTTGTAATCGAAAATATTGTTGGCGGTCAACGTCCAACAGATGCAATCATAAGTTTTGATACGAGAAGAAAAGTTGAATCCAATCGACTGTTCTCAGTTGCTTGAAAAAATAATGTAGACGTTGACGACTGGGAGCGTTATTCGTGGAAGGCAATTCTGACCCTCGGTGAACAATCAAACAGGATTTCAATATTATAGAACAGAAATAAACTATACAGTATGAGCAATACCCTATTTTGAGTGCTGTAACTCTTACTATGTAAATGCACTGTACATTTTAATCGAGAAAATAATTATGATAATAAGCAACAAAATATACTATTAATTGTTTAAAATAAAATTGTACGATGATTACAATTATATTTCCACAGATACTTTGCCTAATCAGTAACAGCATTTTGTTGATACATTACTATTACGCACTAGTGGACGTCGAACTGATGGGTTTCGAAAAAATTATTTGATTTGATATATTTCTTAGTATCATGCACGCTTAGCTTTTACTCTAGGATCACAATGACGAGGACGTGGACAAACTTCCAGTCCGGCTTTAACTTTTAATGCATCACTTTCCTAGAGTTTTGAAACAGCTCCAGCAAAACTAATTTTTTTTTGTTTGGAACAAAGGGGTTTAACTTCAAAACCCTCCCTAGGATACACCAGTGGCTATTATCAATAAGTTTTCATTACAAAAAGTTAACCCTTTCATTGCTTCCAACAGGAAACTTTATGTTCTCTACGAAGAGGGAAAATCACAAACATGTTTGCATGCGATCCTTTTGAAAGTTTCTGTGCATATATTATCCATCCGATTGATGCGGCTTTTCAATTGCAAGTTTAACAGAGACTTCAGCGCAGTAAAAAGCAATTATTTTCCAAAGGATCTAAAAATTTAATTAATGTCGGAACAACACTCTTCTTGGAAACGGTTTATTACTTTTATTTTTAGATATTCGCGCAATTACAGGTTTAAAACAAGTTTTCTCTATTACAAGCAGTTGTCGCAGAATATAATACCGCGGCACCGTACACTATACACTATACACGTATATAAATATACTTTTATCTTTATTTAATTTATCAACGTCTTCAGAATCAAATTAGAAACACAACAATATCATCATGTCAGAAATACAATGATAGATGTTATATATATTGTTCTCTAAGCAAGTCGGAGTATTACTGTAACTTTGGAATCGAAAATATTGCTGGCGGTCAACGTCCAACAGATGCAATCATAAGTTTTAATACAGGAAGAAAAGTTGAAGCCAACAGACTATTCTTAGCTG